TAACTGATGCTGTGGAGCTAGGTCTCCATGGTAACAGATGCTGTGGAGCTAGATCTCCATGGTAACTGATGCTAACCTGGTCCAGGTCCTGCTCAGCGTCTGCCTTTAACCAAACTGGTTCCTGATGATGATGTTTTCTCTGTAAAACTCCTGATCTGTACGTTGCTGAAACACTGAATGAAGCAGCTACAGCATCACACACTGGAGGCATCCTGTTGCCATGGAAACCTACATGTGTTCAGCTGCTGATGCAGAAATCCCACAAATGTGTTTCTATGTTTGGTCCATTTATTCTGCTGGTACTGCAATGATAACCCACTCTTCTCTCGTCATGGTTCAGCCCTCTGGTATCTCTGACTGGGTTTAGTCGAGTCTGGATCTGATCATATCACTGACTGCTCATCTGAACACACACCTGTCTGATCAATAGTGTTTCTGACTGAAACGTTCTGATCCCGATAACCAATAATTAACAATCAGCAGCTTTACTCACAAACAGTCAAACATCATTTAGAAATACTGAACGCGCTGCCGTCCTTTTATTATTATTATTATTATTATTACTATCGGTTCTTGATTATGAAGTACTGATGAGACCGAGCGGTACGTGATGACGTGTGGCAACGCTGTGAAGTGCTCGCGACCTCCGACCGAACTAACGCAGCTTTAAAGCGAAGGAAAAGACAACAAGTAAACAACAACAACAAACAGCAGTAAACAAACAGCTGAAGTCAGTCTGAAGCCCACTCACCTGCTGCAGGTCATCCACACTTCCGCCTTCTTCTTCTTCTTCTTCTTCTTCTTCGTCGTCGTCGTGTGACTGCAGCTAAGCGGTGCTGCCTCCTGCTGGGCGCTGCGTGAAACTACACTGAATTAACAGAACCGATAATACGCAGTGGAATGTATGATTCAGCTGTTCCAGATAGATAGATAGATAGATAGATAGATAGATAGATAGATAGATAGATAGATAGATAGATAGATAGATAGATAGATCACTTGAGGGTCACCTATTCAGGAGCTGCATGTTTAAACTTCCCACAGGTGACCACCTGAGCGATGTTTGCTCTGAATGACCAGCTGACACGATTGAAACCAGCAGAATGAACCACAAAAACACCCCAAAATTGGTTTACAGGTTTTATTAGTTGCGCCACACTTCCTCTCAGGTGACCTAGAGTCTGTTCACACCTGTCGCTGCACACCTGCAGGGGTCTTCATCGTCACGGCGACAAGGGAACGCCTGGATCACCTGAGCGATGCAATCGGCCACAGAGGCAGAGCTGGCCGCGATGACTCTCCTCGACATCATGTCGAACTCCGAGCCTGAGGACACACCAATGAACAATGAGAGGAGGCCACGACCCCCACAGGTACACACAAGTGACACTTAAGTTCACACATTGCATACACACCATCTGTATCCATAACGACGCCTCCAGCTTCCTGCACAATAATGGCAGAGGCAGCGATGTCCCAGCAGTGCATCCCGATGTGGTAGTAGGCGTCGGCTCCGCCTGTCGCCACCTGACACATGTCGACTGCCGCCGTCCCCAATGCACGCACGCTATGACACGTTTACAACACGTCAACTACACACTGGCAACATGTTATGACAACCCAACAAGACGTCAACAACATGTTAACAACATGTTGGCAACACGTTAACAACACGTTAACTACATGTCAGCAACACGTCAACAGCATGTCAACAACCCATCAACAACACATTAACATGTCAACAACATGTCAACAACACGTTAACCTGTCAACAACAACACGTCAACAGCACGGCAACAACACATTAACAACACGTTAACAACATGTCAACAACACGTTAACAAGTCAACAACCCATCAACAACACTTCAACAACACATTAACCTGTCAACAACAACACATCAACAACACGTTAACAACATGGCAACAACACATTAACAACATGTTAACATGTCAACAACCCATCAACAACACGTTAACAACACGTCAACAACATGTCAACAACACATCAACAACACGTCAACATGTCAACAACACGTTAGCAACATGTCAACAACATGTCAATAACACACCAACACGTCAACAACACGTCAACATGTCAACAACATGTAAACAACACGTTAGNCACGTTAGCAACATGTCAACAACATGTCAATAACACACCAACACGTCAACAACACGTCAACATGTCAACAACATGTAAACAACACGTTAGCAACACGTTAACAACATGTCAACAACACACCAACAACACGTCAACATGTCAACAACACGTTAGCAACACGTTAACAACATGTAAACAACACGTCAACAACATGGCAACAACCCATTAACAACATGTCAACAACACACCAACAACACGTCAACAATATGTCAACATGTCAACAACACATCACAATACTTCAAAAGTTCCTCCTCCAGGGTCAGTTCTCCGAAGTGACCCTGAGACACTGCTGTGTGGGTCTAGATGCTGATTGGTTAAACTCAGAGAGGACAACGTGTTTTCTGTCCTTTCTAACATCACCATTAACAACATAAAGTTCTTCAGATGTTCAAACAGAATAAACCTCTATTGTTGTGGTTCCTACATAGAACTGGAGTTTAGTTCAGTATCTGTTCTGGTCTCTGCCTTCATTTTTGAGTTGTTGGTTCAACAGTGGAAACAGAAAGATTGAGAGGACGATCTGGGAACGTTCCTACAGTAGAACATTTCCTACAGTAGAACAGTTCCTGCAGTAGCATGGTTCCTACAGTGAAAAGGTTCCTGCAATAGAACAGTTCCTATATTACGGCCCACAGAGTTCCCTCCATTCTTACCCATGCACAGGGAGCTTCAGTAGTCTGCAGATGTTGGAGGTCATGGTGGACAGAGCGACATCATCCCGCTCCGACCCGATCTCTGTCACCACCACACACCTGCTGATGTCTGATTGCAGGAGAAACAACGAACACACATCCACCTTAAAGCCATTACCACCTTCACACTTTCTGGCCGCCACCAACAGATGAGAACTAACTGACAATGTCATGTGTGATGTCACCTTGCTGTCCAGAGGCAAACAGCGGTTCTCCGTTGAGGAACGCTCCTCTTCCTCTCTGAGCGTAGAACAGTTTGTCCTCCACACAGCTGTACACGATCCCAAACTGTGTCTGACAAAAACAACAGGTGCACTGACTGACAGTTACACTGACTGAC